GACCCTGTATAGGGTTTCCAAGGAGCAGCTGGTGAGCTTGAACCGCCTTCCTTGCAGTTCAAATGGCTTTGCAGTCTGACGCATTAACCCACAGCACCACAACCACACCAGGACTCCAACTAGAGAGATGCAAATCAAAACAACAATGAGATATCATCTCACACCAACAATCACAGCAAAGATCAAAAAAGTAGAGGACAATAAATGCTGGCAGGGATGTGGAGAGACTGGGACTCTCCTGCATTGCTGGTGGGACTACAAAATGGTCCAACCTTTATGGAAAGCAATATGGAGCTTCCTTAGAAGGTTGCAATTCATTGAAGAATCGCAAACCATGGCTTCTACAACCAGCCCCAGCAATCCTGTCACACCCTGGAACCAAATCGGGTCACGAAAACTGGGACCCTGTCGCTTGTCAGGGAACCCAAGCATGTGGTCAGCACTCTGGCCATGAGGACACTGAGTCTGTACTGTAAGATCATGTCATCATATGCACGGGGTATCCACTGTCAGTCCATAGTGGCTACTGTTCCGCTGAGTGGAGCACCATCGTCTAGCCAAGAGAGGAGTGAACCATAGCGTTAAGACAGAGGCTAACAGAAAAACCGCTGCCTCGCCGTACCAAGCCTTCACAGAGCTGCTTCAAACTGAGAAGCCAGGCTTCCTTAGCCTTTGCATTCAAAAATGTTAATATGCATTGTGTTCATCTAGCTTTGAGTCCGAGTGTAGCACTGTAGGATCAGCACTGGGCTGCTAACCGCAAGGTTAACGCTTCAAACCCACCAGCCTCCCCTTGGAAATCTTATACAGAGGTCGCTATGAGTCAGAGTCGACCCGACAGCACATAGTAACAATGATCAATCTTTAGATGTGTGTGTGTGTAACCTGTCAGATACTAACTAGGAATAGGGGGTTTCCAGGCAATGTTAGACTTGGTCACATAGATCAAATGTTTTAGCACCTTTATTCACCAAAACCAAGGCTCGGAAACAACACCAAGTGCACCTGCAAATCGCCGTAGAGTTCTAGAATGAACAGGTGAAGACCTCAACACATAGACAATCTACATAAGGATAAAAAATATTCCAACAAAGTGACTTACAGCATTCTGAGGATTTAGTTTCGTTTTCATCCGTCGCATCATCTCAAAATCTTTTACAGTTCTAGAAAACACATTTAGTATGAATTATTGTAAGAAACTTGCAATTAGTACATTATTAAAGGACTAATTTGCCTATGGTACTTTTCAATATTTACAAATAGAATCAGATATAATTTATAGTGCAAATAAAGCCCAGTATTAATCCAAATTTTCCATGACTGTTAGAGACAGCAATATATATACACTAGTAGGTTACTGAGGTTCTACTTTAAAAAGCATCTTGGCAGATATTTATCTTGGAAGAACTAGGGCTGCAAAAATTAGGAATGTTACCAAAAAAAGGAAAAGCAACAATCAGCAAATTCTAATCCACTCATTTTTGCTGTATCTCCAAAAAAAGAGACCAACAGATTGCATTATATAAGAGAATATTAACACAGAGTATATTTATTTAAGAGTTCCAAGCATAATTTCTTCCCCTAAGGAAAAACTGGTAATACTTAAGTAGGTATTAAATACTTGTGAACTAAGGAGACCTTTAGAATCCTGGTGTGGTGCTATTGGTTAATGCACTGGACAACAAGGTCATTTGAACCGCAAACTCACCAGTCACTCCTCAGAAAACCTGGACAGGGTCGCTATGAGTCAGAACCACATGCTGGCACTTCATAACAAGGATAACTTTAGCATAAACTCCTACATAGAACTATAAACTCACCAAAATATGCTCACTGAGAATATAATCTCTAGCAACAAAACTAGAGACAGAATACAAACAGAACATAGACCAACAAAAGACAGACGAACAAAACGCAAAAGAAAATCTCAAATAACTGCCTAAGTAGTGGTCCTTCATCATAGCAAAGATGCAGTGGTGGTCAGTGGGAGTCTAAGAGAAAACTACGGAATTAATCGGTAAGTATCATACAAATTGCAAGGTAATGGGTTCTAAGGTGGAAATCTAGAATCCCAAAGAGATGTCTGAGTGAGAATGATGTCAGAGAGTGACAGTCAAGTTGTTGGGCTCAGGAGTCTCGGTGGCTTGGCACCTGAGATGTAGTTAGTTACCCACCATGATGAGATCTAACACAACGTCATCACCTCTCTGATGAGGTGGGCTCTGAGCACTCAGCTTCCAGTATAGCTGACACAAGCTGGAAAGCAAGACTTGCTTGTTCTCTGCTGGGTCTGGATCTTGCATCTGGCTTGTCCTCTGACCTCCAGTTCTTTGGATTTGAGCCTGTAGCTGGCTCAAGCGGCTGATCCTGGGGTCATCAGCAGCCTGCCTTTATATCTGCTGGACCTACCTCGCCTGTTTGCCATGTGACCTACCGATCTTAGTTCATGTGACCTGAACTTGGGACTCTCTCACTTCTACAACTGTGAGTCATTTCCATGATAGAAACTTCTCTTTATATATACATATATATAAAGTTTTAAGGAGCTCTTGTAGCGTAGTGGTTACAAATTGGGCTGCTAACCTCAGGGTCAGCAGTTGGAAACTACCAGTTGTTCCGTGGGAGAAAGATGAGGCTTTCTGCTCCCCTGAAGATATACAGCTTCGGAAACCTTGTACAGGGTCACTATGAGTTGGAACCGACTTCATGTCCCATAACAACAACATGTAAGTTTTACTGGTTTTGAGTCTCTAGAAAACCCAGCCTAAGATACGAGCTGTCCAAAAGGCAAGTGAATTTTAGACAGCACAAGAAAAAAAAAAAAAAGAGAGTGAAACCATCGTTCTCTTGGACAAAGCACGGCATGTCTCCTCTACATAAAGGAATCTTACAGGTAAAGGCACTTTGAGCTTGCCCTTCAACAAGACAACAACTCTTGCAGAGTTGGGCAAAGACAAGTAATGTGGGCAAAAGGACAGGGCAGATGAGAGGACAAGAGAGGAACAGAACACAGGGGCCCACAAGAGGAGATTCGAACCCTTCACTTTCAACTAGAAACACTGAGACAGAGCATTCTGGGTTTGGTAAAATACACCCAACACGTCATTTGTCACTGTAACCATTTTCAGAGTACAATATCAGTGGCATTAACTGTATTGACTATGTAGGGAAGCTGTCACCCCAAAAAAGAAACTGTACCCATGAAGGAATAACTCTAGTCTCTCGCCCACTGTGTCCCTTGTTAATCTCTCTAATCTATTTCCTGTGTCTATGAATTTGAGGCCAGAGCATTCTTAAAATACATCAAGTCAAGCATCGACATTAATACACCACATGCTTGAGGAGCGAATACTACTTTATGAATTTGTTCAGAGGGTTGATGGTCCACGTTCAAAGGTATCGGTTCAAAAATATTTTGGAGAGATTTTTAAATTACAGTAATCCCTCTGGGTCCATGGCGGATTGGTTCCAGGACCCCCGGGATACCAAAATCCACGGATGCTCTAGTCTCTTACGTAAAATGTTGCAGTATTTGCACACAACCTATGCACATACTTCAAATCATCTCTAGATTGTTTATAGAGCCCTGGTGGCTCTGTAGGATTAGCACTGGACTGCTAGCTACAAGGTCAGCAGTTCAAACCCACTAACCACTATTTGTGAGAAAGATGAGGCTTTCTGCTCCCATACAGATGAGCAGCGTCGGAAACCCTATACAGGGAGGGTCACTATGAGATGGTTAGGTTTTGGATATTTAGATTACTTATAACATCTAATTAAACGTAAATGTCAGGCAAATACCTTTTGGCTTCTGGCTGAGGTGCTCTTGTTAGTATAGTGGGTTAGCAGTTAGGCTGCTAAAATTCACAAAGCAAGTCTTTTGTTTGTGTTTTCTGTTGCTGTTTTAAATGAATGGCATATACTCTTAAGAAGGGACAAACACTGACCTCTCTGAAAGTTTGTCTGAAAGTTTCTCGAGGAACCGCATGACCGTCTCTAGAAATGAAATGAGAAGAAAATTCACTTACATGAAATAAAAGGAACTCCCTGCCACGGGTATAAGACGGTGGTGGCCTACGCACACGGCCGCGCCGACAGTCGGGTGTTTTTCATGGGAACACAGGTCAGGGGAAGGTACTCAACATACAAGGGCATCTCTTCATCAGAAAAGCTGGTGATCGAACTAGCACAGTCAACAGCTGGTACCCTAAAATGAAAAGAGCTAATGGGGAACTAAAAAAAAAAAAAAAAAAAAAAGAATCTAAAAGTCCTATGTTTCTATGTACTCACATGTGTAATGAAAGAAAGATACAAGTTTCTCAGACATTTCTAATTTTCCTCTAAGTTTTAATGAGCTACGTAGGCTCTGATTTGTTGGTAAATTTAAAAATTAAATTAAAAAAAAAAAATCAATGTTTTCCTAGGTAGATATTTTTATTTTTATATACAGCTGAAGAAGGATCTATTCAAGATTAATGCCAAAATACATCAAAAGTAGAACATTAATAATTAAATTGTATATAAAATAAAAGATATTATTGAGTGTGGGGCTCTATTAGAACCCATCTATATGAAACCAAAACAATGGACATTACTGTACAGCAAAGATGAGAATGTAAGGGGCAGGGCAACTAGAACATTGGAAATGAAACAACCAGAAGTAAGAAAAGAAAATGTTGTCATACTGTGAAAAATGTAACGAGTCGTTGCTGAAAAATTTGTATAAAAATGTCGAACTGGGAACCTAATTTGCTGTGTCAACTTTTACTGAAAACACAATAAAAATTTGTTAAAGAAAAAAAAAAAATCTAAGTCATAGAATTTATTTAAGTATTTAAAATACTTCAATCACACACCGTTATACTTTATAAACCCATAAAGGCAATGACGTAGTGGAAGAAACATTACCTCCAGTGACAGGAAATTTTTCATGGTTACTTTTGAACTTCACTTTTAAGACTATAGAGCTTGCCACAACATTGTTTTTATATTTTCCAGATGATTTTTTTCTGTGGTTCGACGTTCCTTGCCCTGTCTGTAATTGAAGTGACGTGCTTTCTGAGTGAAACACCAGGCTGAGAAAAGCGTGGCGGTTACTCTAAAGCCAGCAGGCCTGGGCTCGTGTCCTGTCAACACGCAGCAAGTCTTGTCTACATCCACTGCCTTTGAGTCGATCTGACTTCCAAGGACCCAACAGTGCAGAGTAGAACTGCTTCATAGCATTTATGGGAGCAGACTGCCTCATCTGTCTCCCGCTAAGGGGCTGGTGGATTTGAACCAAGACCTTGTGGTTAGCAGCCCGACACTTAACTCACTGTACCACTAGGACTGTGTCTTGCCTAAGTTGTTGTTAAGTGCTGTCAAGTGGGTCCGGACTCACAGCAAACCATCAACCTTGCAGTCAGCAGTCGAGTGTTTATCCTCCAGGGTCCCACCAGGACTTCGCATCTTGTCTATGTGGTTGTTGTGTTGCTGTTAAGTGCTGTTGAGTCGGTTTCGACTCATAGCAACTCTGTTTCTGAGGACCAGCTAGCTGGTGGGTTTGAACTGCTGACCTTGTGGTTCACAGTCCAGTACTGATCCTACAGCACCACACCAAAGAGTCCATAGCAAGCCCTGAAACACTTCCTCATGTAACACACTAAATGGCCATCAGGAATTCTGGGAAGAGGGAGGTAGTATTTAGTGAAAAATGAAATCGAATTTCAGGATCTCATACCAGGTGCCATATGGAAGTGTGTTCACGAAACACTGTGGATGTTTGGTTTTGTTTTCCTTTTCCTAATTAACCATTTTCACAACCTTTTACCCATTTAATTCGTTAAGTTCTCTTGTATGAGAAGCATCTACTTCAACTGGTGTACCCAGAGAACTGTCCTAGGACAAAACCACAAGAGAGATGCCAGACTATAAAAGCAGGCCCCTGCTCACCTGGGGGCCCCGTCTCCCACCTGTCTTCTCCCCTCTGCTGCGTCCTCACCAGTCCTCCACTGTCCAGCTCCAGTTTCCCATCCTCAAAAATCTCCAGGAGTCACAAACCCAGGGGACCTTTGAACTTCATGGACCCCAGAAAGCCTACGTATGGCCCTTTATTTTGTCTACAGCCTTCACTGGTTATGGAAATGACAACAACCTGCATTACTAGTTACCTTTATCTGCAGCTATCTGAGCTGCACAGGGACACAGGTGACAAGGACATGAGTTACACCCTAAATGCACACTATTCAGATTCTGAGAAACAATGACATCAGTGATGTGCTGCTGAAGATACGGAAGCAGAAGCCGTGACGTCCGACCGACATGGCTTTCTCCGTCACCTCAGGGCAGCCAGCTACTCACTTCCTCCAACAGCCCTGATGGTCCCTGCATGGTTTCCTCAAGCAGCTTGTCCCTAACACCGCCTGCTGGGGGACCTCACGTGGCCTCAGCTCCAGAGACGACGTACAGCCCACTGCTGGCTCAATTCCACAGCGGTGTCTGCTGGTGCCTCCAACATCAAACGCGCGGGTTTCCCCATCTCAGAGAAGAGAAACTCAGACCGGCTTCCCGGTTGCTCAGGTCAAAACCGTCAGCTCTCTCCCTTCAAAATACCCAATATCCCAACTCTGACCACATGGTACCACCTACACTGTCACCATCCTCGCCAAGCTGCCATCCTTTCTCATCATGATCACTGCCAATCGGCTTCTAAAAGTCTCCTTCTGCCCAGCTTTACATGACACAAATGCCAGACTACATCATGACGTAACTGCCAAATTACATCATCGCGTCGCTGCCAAACCACTGGGATCGTGGCCCAGCCAAGCTGACACAGAGCCTTAACCAGCGACCCACAGCGCCTCTGCCTCTCACCTCAGCGGCTGTGACTGCCAGATGTGTTGCCAACGTGTAAGAGCGTCAGAGTAGATTTTTTACTATTGTCGTAAATGCAAAACGACAGCTAATGAGGTGGGTTAACAAATAGCATACCATCTGCTTTACCTCTTTTATTTTGCTCTTATCTGTCTTCCCTACAAGAATGTAAACTGCACAAGGATAGAAATTTCTTTCTGGTTCACACACTGACTTGTTTTGAGCCCTGGTGTGGTGTTGTAGGATAAGCACTAGGCTGCTAACTGCAAAGTCGGTGGTTCAAGCCCACCAACCACTCTTCAGAAACTCTCTACAGGGCCGCTTTGACAGCAAATAACACCACCGCTAACTCCCTAAGAAAATGATGACGTGGTCTGCTTCCGTAAAGGTTTACAGCCTTGGAAACCCTGTGGGGCAGTTCTACTCTGTCCTTGAGGGGGCGCTGTGGGTCAGAAGAACTCCACGGCAACAGGTTTGATAATCTGACATAAAGGAGGGAGCTTCAGAAAGTCAGTGAAGAAATTCCATTCTCTTTGCATTCCATTTTCCGTGCACTTTTTGAAGCCCCCGAGTAGCAGACACTCAGTATTCACTGAATTAGTGCACGAAGCTGGAAGATGAAGAACGATAGGCCGGGTGGTCTCAAACAGCCCATGGAAGATCACAAACGCAGAGCAGGGGTCTGGGTTCAGATCTGCCCTCTTTTTAGCAGTCTCATCTCACCCCATCTGTGAAATGAATACAACTATCTGCTCACGGGACCTCGGGGAACTAAATGAGATAATGTCACAGAGCAAGGCTGACAGCGTCAGAAACTCTTTGTGGGGTCACTCTGGGTCAGAACCAACTCAATGGCAATAAGTTTGGTCTTTTGGTTTCGGGGCAATAACTGAGTGGAGGTAAGAAACTGAAGAGGAGACAGCCCTGGGTGGTGCAGACAACAGGCTCAGCTGCTAACCCAAAGGAAGTGCTTCAGAAGAAAGGCCTGGCCATATTCATGCAAAAACTCAGCCACTGAAGGCACCAAAGGAGCCCACTCCGACATGTATGGGGTTGGCATGAGTAGCTTGACAGCAACTGGATTTGCTTTGACAGAGAGAAGGGACAAACTGGGATGGAATGAGATTTCCCTCCAACAGAGTCTCTGCGGGTGTTGCTGGTATCGGTGAAGAGCACGCCCATCTGTCTGTCCAGCCAGGCTTCATGTCTATCACCAGCCGTGTAAGTAAGTGTTACTTTGGACACACGTCCTGAACCTCGACAACTCCACAATCATCACCACCCTGCAGCCTCAATTATAACTAGTTTAACAAATATCCTCGGAACCAAGCAATACAAAACTGACTAGATACATTTGCATGGTGATTGAAGGATCCCTGGTAGGACAGCGGTTAAGCGCTCAGCTGCCAGCGGAAAGGTTGGCGGTTTGAATTCACCTAGCGACTCTGTGGGACCTAGAACTTGCGGACTGCTCCTACAAGGGGTCTGGGCTCAGAAACCTCTGAGGCAGTTCTCACCTGTTCTATGGGCCTCAGAGTCAGACGCCACTGACAGCACACAACAACAACAACATCATATCATTACTATGTCACATTGTCTCTTACACGCTGTAAATCCTAAAGAATTCAACACAGCACAACGCAAGTTTACCAAAACCCAAGGAAAGCCGTTTCACCCCTTCATCTTGCAGGAAAGACAGGATGGAAGATCACCAGAAATGTGAACTTTCATCCCGTCTCATCCAAATTCTCACCACTGGCACATCTGGATAGATTGAGCACAAAAACTGATCGAGTTCATCTGTAAATAATTGTAACTAGCGTCAAACGAAAATGTAACTATCAATTTATCTTCCACATGTACATAAAATGCCTTGGTTGGACAGAATATATATGTATATATTACCTCAATTTAAGAATCACGCCCATCGAAAAATGTAGACAATCCAGAATATGGGTCTCTGAGAATATTACAGATAGAACACTGATTGACCCAAGTCAAACCACGGCCATCTAGTCAGTTTCAACTCACAGTGACCCTACAGGAAGGACAAGGTAGAACTGGGCCGGAGGGTTTCCAAACCTGTCACTCTTTACAGGCGCAGACAGCCTCATCTTTATCCCTCACAGTGGCTGGTGGATTTGAACCACCAACCTTGCTGTGAGCAGAAGTTTTGTTGCATAAAAATCTACTTTTATCCTTAAAAGTTGGACATGCCGGCTTACCTGGAGTTTTGGCTATAGTTCCTTGGAGAGCTCTGTGGGAAAAGGTGGGATAGCCCACTAACTTGGCCAGCAGGTCTCTGTGTCTGAGCAGTTCCTCTAAACAGTTCAACTGTCCAGCATTGGGATAAAGGAAAATTTTATAAGCAGCTTCTCGCACCTATATATGAAAAGTAAATGGTACAAGATATAAATATACCATGACATAACACTCCACGCAACCATGTTGTTGTTAGGTGCCGATGAACTGCTTCCGACTCATAGTGACCCCATGTACAACAGGACACAACACCGCCTGGTCTGCACCCTCCTCACAATTGTTACCCTGGAGTCCACTGTTGCGGCCACTGTGTCAGTCCATCTCATTGGGGTCTTCTTCTTTTACAGTGACCCTCCACTCTACCAAGCATGGTGTCCTTCTCCAGGGACTGGTCCCTCCTGATAATATGTCCAAAGTATGAGAGACAAAATCTTACCACCCTGGCTTCTGAGAAGCATTCTTGCTGTAATTCTACTTCTTTTAACACAAATTTGTTTGTTTGTTTTGGGTAGTCTAGGGTACTTTCAACATTCTTTTCTAACACTGTAATTCAAATTCTTCTACAATCTTCTTTATTCATTGTCCAACTTCGCATGCATACGGGGCTAGTGAAAATACCATGGTCAGGCACATCTAAGTCCTCAAACCGATTGTCTTTGCCCTTGACCACATTAGAGAGGACTCGGGTAGCAGATCTGCCTAATAAAATACATTGCTTCATTTCTCAACTCCTGCCTCCAGGAGTGTTCATTGCAGATCCACGCAACAAAAGTGCAGGCCAACTCGCCACTTCATCTGCGGAGGACCACTGCTTTAAAAACGAAGTCATAGTTTAAACAAAGTGACTCAAGCTTCTGGAGTCAGCAAACAGTGCAGGCTACAACAGCATGCTGTTACGGGGAAAGGCAGGGCAAAATCTCTGAATCATGGTGTTGGCGAAGAACACGGACTCTACCATGAACTGCCAGAAGGGCAAGCAAATCGGACTTGGAGGAAGGACAGACTGAGTGCTCGTTACAAGCCAGAATGGCGACACTTGGGTCTCTCGTTCTTTGGATATGTCATAAGGGAGGGCCAGTCCCAGGAGAAGAACATCGTGTTCGGTAAAGTAAGGGGTCAGAGAAATAGAAGAAGACCCTCAACAAGATGGACCAACACAGTGGCTGCACCAGTGGGCTCAATCTTAACCACTGTGAGTACGGCGCAGGACCAGGTACTGCTGTGTTATGTTGTATATAAAGTCGCTGTGAGTCGGAACTCACTAGATGGCACCTAACAACAGAACAGGGGAGCATGGTGGCTCTGTAGGCTAAACACTGGACTGCGAACCGCTAGGTCAGCGGTTCAAGCCCACCAGTTGCTCTGTGGAAGACAGATGAGGCTTTCTGCTCCTACAAAGATTCACAGCCTTGGACGCCCCATACAGGGTCGCTGTGAGTCAGAACCGACTCAACAGCACTTAACAACAACTGGACAATATCTTACCCAGAGCATTCGTCTCTGTACAATCACATACTTGTTAAAAATGTGCGTAATCTACAATGTTGGTCATTGTCGTTGTTAAGTTAAACATGGGGCTGCTAACCACAAGGTCCGCAGATTTCAAATGAACTGTTTAAAAGACAAGACAGCATTTCCGGAATTAACAAACCACACAGGTAAAAATTTTAGTCCTGGTGGGGCACTGTAAATTAAACACTGGACTGCTAACTGCAAGGTTGCTGGTTCAAAGCCACTAGTCATTCCTCAGAAATCCTAAACAGAGTGGCTATGAGTCGGAACCAACTCAACAGCACTTAACAACAAGAAGGAACACTACGGTACTTCTAAGGGTGTTACGAGTTTACACCAAGAAATACGACCACACCAGCGATGGGGCAGAGACTGCAGAGAGAAGGAAGCATGTACCATGTCGTCTGGTGCCTCGGCCTGCAGACCATCAACGATGACACAGTTGCCATCCACAGGGAAGTGGCGGCAGATGTGCTCTGGCAGGAGATGCCCGCCGATCTTATTTGGGATGTTGGTTCCCATCAGAAATGTGCTGCTCAGATCCAAGATTTTCACATTCAGGTCCACAGCTTGTTTACGCTGCAAATTAAAATTAGGATTTCACAATGAGCAGACAACCTAGGAAGTGGGCTGATCAACACCTGTGTTCTGTTGAAAGTTGTTGCAATTTAATAACATTTTAAAGAAAACCAAGTTTAAATATAAATGTAATATAATATTAAATATGGTTTTAAGCTGTGTTGTGTGCAACAGGCTTCTGAGGCTGTAAATCTTTATGGGAGCAGAAAGCTCCATCTTTCTCCTGTAGAGCAGCTGGTGGGCCCGAACCACTGACCCCGTGGTTAGTAGGCCAACACATAACCTGGTAAAACACCAGCGCCCCTTATATTTTTGTATGCTAACTGTCTAATATCTAACCCACTGCATCAATTCCAACTTATCGGGACTCCGTACAGCAGACACAACTGTCCCATAGGACTTTCAAGGCTGTAAATCATTATGAAAGCAGTCTTGTTTTTCTCCTGCAAAACAGTTGATGGCTTTGAACCATCAGCCTTCTAGTTAGCAGATGAGTGCTTAACAACTGTGTCACCAGGACCCCTATAACATGGGGGAAAGAACTTCAAAATTTCATGGATAAATCCCATTATCTTCTAATTACATTTCCACGAACTGTTTGAAGCGCCCTCGTATATCGTCCATAGGATCAGCACTGGAATGCAAACCACAAGGTCAGCCGTTCAGACCTACCAGCCGTTCCTCAGAAACTCTAACAGGGTCACCATGATTGGAATTGACTCCACAGCGCTTACCAATAACAAAAAATAATATATTAATGCTATGTTTGACAAACACTTAACATCCTGACAAATGAATTTTCCTGTGATCGTAGAGTGTCTCCATGCTTTGATTTCATAGAACTTTTGGAGTTTCATTTTTTGTCTGGGTTACACAACCTCTCTTTGAAATTAACCCAAGTGTCAAGTCTAGGTTTGAAGGGCAGAGGGAGAGGGAAGAATTAATCGATTCGGCACCAACTGCAGGGCACATCTAGAAGGGGGTGGAACGCTGGACAAGTTGTTACGGATCGAGGAAGGTGTGGTGCTGTGAGGAACCAAACTGGAGCGTGCCGGCAGGAGCAGTCGGTTTGGGACCATTTTTAAACACTTGGGGTGATCCTTTCAATAAAGGACATTTTCCTGAGGAAGTTGTGTGTCATAAAGGGTGCCCCATGGTTGTCACTGCCCACAGAGGGCATCGCAGATATGGGCTGTACGACAGGGTCCAGAGTGAACAGACAGTCACTCCTCCACACAAAGCTCGTTTCTCAGCAACCGAAACACATGCACGTTAAGAACTTGTCCCACGTTATAACCTCTTCTTCCCTCTTCCTGTCCTACAAAGCCAGACTTGGACAGTTGAGTGTATACCAATCTGCCCTTCAAACACTTAGTGTGTTCATCTAAACACACATCTGATGTTTTACACTGAATACATCCATTTCTCTGATTCCCTTAACTAAGGAAATACGGAAGGGGTCTGACTCTAACAATAATTATGGAGTCCTGGTATGGCACTATAGGACAGAGCACTGGGCCTCAAGGTCGCTTTGAACCACAACATCGATGGTTTAGACGCACCTCAGAAACCGACTCGATGGCACTTAACAACAATATTGTTAAGGAGCCTTGGTGATGCAGTGGGTTAAACATGGGGCTGCTAACCACAAGGTCCGCAGTTTAAACCCAGTAGAGAGAGAGAGATGAAGCAGTGTGCTTCTGTAAAGATTTACAGTCTCGGAAACCGTAGGCAGCAGTCCTAGCTCTGTCCTATTGAGTTGTAACTGATGAGATTGCAGTGGGCTCGGGATGTAAATGCATGCTTGACAAAAGTTCTGGAAAAAATTAAGTATACAGTTGTTGTTGTTAAGTACCATGGAGTCAGTTCTGACTCACAGTGACCCTGCACAGGGTTTCCGAGGCTGGAAATCTTTATGGGAGCAGAGAACCTCATCTTTCTCCCGTGGTAGTTTCAGCTGGTAGGTTTGAACTGCTGACCTAGAGGTTGGCAGCCCGACTCATAACCACTACGCTACCAGAGTACTAAACAAGAATTTTTCAGTAAAGAAAATGCAAATTTCACAGGAAAACTAAGGCGCTCGAACACTTCACTGTCTAATCTAGTTCAGGATTTCTCTCCCGCTGCTTGGTTTCTGACATGGCCATTTATCGCCACCTAATGGTTACCAGTGGAATAGCAAAAGAGATGTAGTTAGGTGCCATCAAAGTGGTTCTGTCTCACAGTGTGGCACTGTGGGTTAAGGAGCCGGACTGCAAAGTCAGTTTGAATTGCAAGGTTGGCGGGTCAAGCTCACCAGCTGCTCCTCGGAAACCTTACACAGCATCACTATGGGTCGGAATTGACTCAAAAGCACTTCACAACAACAAGCTTGTGGTCTGGTGCTTATTCATCCTACAGCGCCACACCAGGATGCCGAGATGATAACATAAAATGAAAGATGACAGATAACTGGGAATTTATACAGCATTTCCAAAACGTTTCCCCAAAGCTCTAACAGTCCATTTTTACTTCTAACAACCCCATGCGACTGAGTGGAACTGTCCCATAGGAGGCTCTAGACAGTGATCTGTACAGAAGCTGATCACCGGAACTTTCTACCGCAGAGCTACTGGGCATCACTCGGTTAGCAGGCAAGCCATTAACAGGCGGACACTAAAGCCTGTGCTATGTGCTACGTGTGTGTTCGTATATATATATAAACCTATACACGGACTCCTGGTGTGGTGCTGTAGGATCAGCACTGAAACCACAAGGTCAGCAGTTCAAACCCATCAGCTATTCCTTGGAAACACTATACAAGGTCACTATGAGTCGGTACTGACTCGACAGCACTTAACAACAAAATACAAAATTAATGATTTCAAAGATGTATCATCTGATCAAACACTCAGAAAAATAAAAACGGGTTTATTTCCTGACTCTTTCAGTGATCTGCTAGGCGAGACTTATCATTTCACTGAGATACTGAAACACACAAAAACTCCATGAAACTGAACAATTTATTCATTAAATGATTCCTTAAACACATGCTCCCATTCATTTTAAATTGGTCAACAATAAAATAAAAATTAAATAAGAAATAAACTGGAAAGATAATACAGGATTTTCGGGTTTGTATATGATGCTAGTGGTTTTATTTTAGGGTCTCTTTTGAAAATTATAATGTCTTTCTTCTGTCCGGTCTGATTGGAACATCTTTGGGAGCAAATCTGAGAGGGCTTCAAGAGGCTCATGGTAACACAGAAATGAAAAGATCATGGAGTTTTTCCACCAACTTTCTGAGGCCCCCTGGTATGGACGTGAAGAAGAGATGGGAAGGCAGTAGGTTTATTTGACTGGTACCTCTAAGATTGTGGATTACTTGCTAGGAAGAGAGCAGCTAGACTGTGTTAGATGAAGCAGAAATGTCTACGCTGGTGAACTTGAACGCAGATTACATTTCAGCAAGGTTTCCAAAACAACTTTCAGGAGAATTACGAAAAATAACACAATTATTCACAGACACTCCCAACTAGCAACCTTCCTCCTAAAGACATCAAAAGGGATTAATGTCAGCCATAGTTCGTTTGAGTCATCACACATTCATCCAGTAATTCATTGCGTCCCAAACGGATACTATATTAACAAAATAATCCATGTTCTCTGCTCATCTTACGTCTCTAAATTTAGATAACTTATTGATGTTGTTAAGTGCTGCTAAGTCAGTTCAGACTCACAGAAACCCTGTACAGAGTTTCCGAGGCTGGAAATCTTTGCGGGAGCAGAAACTCTCTTCTTTCTCCAGAGAAGCGGCTGGTTAACTCACACTGCCAATCTTGTTGCTGTCCAGTACTTATCAGAAAAAGCTACTGCACTCCCAAATTTAGTTAAGAGACATAAAAATAGAATAACCACCACCTCACTAAAAGGCAGTGAAAGGTAAATGCCAGAAAAGTGCAAGAAATAAAACATGAGTCCGGATGAAAGCAAAATCCCACCGGGGAGGACCACGCAATGCCTCACATACAACAGGTTCTGAGGAGGAAGCCTTAGCAGGGGCTCAGGCAGACACACATGCGAAACGTGGTGAGCCAGGACCGCAGATGTGGGAGGGCGTGTGTTTAACAACTTGAGCACTGGGCCCACACGAGCAAACAGAAACAGAGGCCACTGGGAAAGCCTAGCCTGTGTGTCCTCGGTCACACATTAACAAGCTATTCATACTCCTAAGTAGGAAATGGGAAGTCATAGAAAGGTCCTGGGCAGGAGAGAGTAAGTGGTGTTTTCCCACGCAGGCTCGGCTGACAGGGCAGGCTGTGTGTATGCCCGGCGGGGCCGTGTAATAAATGCCTCCATGACTTTCGCTGTGGCTGTGGGTAAACCACAAATCCTGCAGGATCCTGGGTAGTGGCCTCTTCTCAGCACTGACATGCGTGTCTGACGACACAGGGATGCTTTTCATAGCACACGCTCAGCGGACTTTAATTATAATGATTGCCAGGAAGACCACAGCCCTGAAGACCTAAGGGGCTTTAGAAAACACACAGTCATGCAATGCACAGTACAGATACAAACTACACAGCCAAATGTTAGGCAGACAAGAGAAGTCAAAACATAACATGACGGAAGGGTTACCTTTTCTTTATCTAGGTGTATTCCACTGATTTCAAAATCAAACATAAAGAGTTCAGCCACTCGCCTATTAAAAAAAAAAAAAGTCTCAGGTTAGTTGTTGTTGTTGTGAAGTGCTGTCGAGTCGGTTCTGACCCATAGCGACCCTGTATAGGGTTTCTGAGAAGCAGCTGGCCAGCTTGAACTGCTGATTTTGCAGTTTAAACGGCTTTGCAGTTCAATGCATTAACCCACCGCGCCTGGGAAGAATAATTAGGAACAAAACTCAGGTTTTTGTTAGACGAATCGGTCTTACTGTATCAAAGTCAGATGCTTCAACATACACACAATGTCGTTGTATCTAGAATTCAAGTGTAACATCATACAAACTAGGAGAACATGCCGCTGACTGATAAGGTTTGTCAGTCATCACATAGTTGACTGAGTACCAGATTCATCACATCTAACAGGACAATAAGTTTTCAGTTGAAACTAAAGCATCACAAGGATTCCAGTGAATCCACTTTCCTCTAGAGAAGCTGGACATGTTCCAACAATCAGCCGCCTCTCCTTCAGCAGGATTTACTGCTTACTATATGCTCTGGCTGTTAGATACCATCGAGTTGGTTCCGACTCACAGCGACCCTATGAACAACAAACTGAAACACGGCATGGGCCTGCACCATCCTCACAGTTGCTGTGATGCCGGAACCCGCTGTTGGATGCACTGTGTCAATCCCCAATAGCTCAGCTGTTATTAAATGCCATCGACTCGGTTCCTACTCATAGCAACCCTGTGTAGGGTTTCTGGGAAATGGTTGGTGGATTTGAACTGCTGACCTTTGGAGTTCAAACTGACTTTGCAGTCCAGCGTATTAATTCACAGCGCACGCCAGGATTCCAATAGTTCAGTAGACAGTAGCTATGTGTTTGGCGATGAGGCAACCAACCAAATTCACTACCTGTTTCCTTTCCTAAGGAGGGCTGGTGTGGCGCAAGGTTGACAGTTCAAACCCTCCAGATGCTCCATGGGAGAATGATGACATTATCTGCTCCTGTAACAATTTACAACCTCAGAAACTCTAAGGAGCAGCTGGGTCACTCTGAGTCACTCTGCCCACCACCCTCATCCAGGTCCTGACCCACAGCATTCATCCTGACAGGTCGTTGTACCTCCAGTCACAGTGTGACTTTCTTGGCACCCAAAATGTGCCACGAACTCCCAGGTGAGGTTTCTGACCAGGGTTTTCCACTGCCAACCAAATTGACAGTATTTGTCGTGTGCACTGGGAGACTTGAGCTAAGAAACACGTATGTTTGCGGGATGAGGAGGGAAGATGTTTTCGGGATGTGCTGAGGGCCTCTCATGGAAGGTCCCGTATGAGGCCAGAGCCCTACAGACTATGTGGCATGAACACTTTGCTAGTATTTAATATAAAAAGCAACCCACCACCCACTGTTGTTGAATTGATGCCGACCACAGATAGAGTAGAACAGCTCCACAGAGCACAGCCGTTGCCAAAATTGTCAATATTTATGGAACAGCCAGCCTTGTCTTCCTCCCTCCCTCAGAATAGCTGCTGGGTTTGAACTGTGGTTAAGAGCTCAATGTTTAATTCACTGCACCACTAGGGGTCCTTATGATAAACAAAACCAAAACGAAACCAAGCCCACCGTCGATGACTGAGAACAACCCTGCCGAGGGTTCCTGAGGCTATAAATCCTTACGGGAGCACACAGCCTTGTCTTTCTCCTGTGGGGCAGCTGTGGGTTCAAGTACCAGACCCTGCAGTTAGTAACCCCCAAATGCTTAGCCCACTGTGCCACCAGGACTCCTTTCCAGTAAACCAAGAGGGAAAACAAGGAGAGTTTCAATCCATGTTCACTCAGTCTGTGTGTGTGCTGCCGAACACAAAACACAATTACAATTTGCTTTTCATGTGGGAACTCGCTTCTTCATTCGTGGAGGGCAGAGCTGTGAAAAGTCACCACAGAAACCATCTATTTCAACTCCGTCCAAACAGCAAGCATGAAAACATAAAACAGTTTCTCCTTGGACAATTTTCCAAAGGCCTCCTATGCAAGAATGTCTCCCGAGTCCCTTCCAGCTCAGAGCGGAGACTTGGAATTAGTCAGCTCTTTGATGCCGTGCTGGAAGCAGAAATTCTTGGCTAATGAGAATTTTCTTTCTTTCCTTTTCATCTTGCTTCATGCTTGGAACTAATTTCAAATATATCACTTCTTTCTGTCAGCAATTTAAAATTGAAAAGAAAAGAAGAGAAAAAAAACCTGCTTTTTTCTGGAATGAAAGCAAACCAAATATTTGATCTCCTCTCTGCGTTTTTAACATGGAATCTTGCTGGTGATTGTGCCAAACACACCTCACCTGGAACAGCTAGAATTCCTTTAATTCCTTCAAAAACTTAAGAGAATTCAATAGGCTACATTAAGATTCTAGCTATTTACCTTCTTAGATAAATCATGTAAAGTGTCATTCAGGCCCCTAAACTGCCCTCATCGGCTTGACGTCATTTGATCTCCTTCCCTGAGCCATCAAACTCAAGACCCTCCAGTTCTTTCTCAAACAAAGGAGTCTCCTGTTTATCTCAGTAAGAGGAAGAAAGGTAACATGGCTTGATAAACCGGGGTTGGGAATTTTTTACTGAAGTTCAGAACACGACAGGTTTTGCTTAACATGGTTCCACTGTAGAAGTGTATGAACAAAAATGAAAATTCACTAGTCCTACCAGAATCCAAACACGCACTGCCACAGAGGTGATTAAAACTCAAAGCGACTAATTCCACCACCCAAAGATAATGACTGCTAAAATTCAAGTCATTCCATCCAGTGTACGGTTTTTAAAATTGTGAACTGACTGGGTGAAGGTTTAGAGAGCAGATCAATTTTCCACTCAACAATCCACACACACTTAGTTCCATCTCATTGGACGTAGTTCCCGCAGGGAACCTCCGTCTTCCCACTTCCTCCCCGGGGTTTCCTGTTTTCACTCCTCCTCCTTTCCTCACCCTTCTGAACCTTGTCCCTGGGTTAACACTGCCCTTTTGATCTCAAATGATTGATTAGACCTCCCTAGTATTACTATTCCCCTTACGTTGTTGTTGTTTTTAAGTACTGTGGAGTCGTTTTCGACTCATAGTGACCCTGTATGGGGTTTCCAAGGCTGTAAATCTTTTCAGGAGCAGAAAGCCTCATCTTTCTCCCATAGAGTGGCTGGTAGTTTCGAACTGCCGACCTTGAGGTTGGTAGCCTGATTCTTAACCCCTATTGAACCACAGGAGTGAGTTCATTTCTAGAGCTGATGGATGACTAAGAACCACACTCGGGGGTACTACCCGTCTCTCTCCAATCTACCTCCACTGTTAAATGGCGGACCCTGTGTGAAGAGAAACTCAATGGGACAGTCTTGCTCTTCCGGGTCTCACAAGTTTTCAGCCTTTGTCATGGTGCCTTCTCATCACTTCCCTATTGCTCGTGGAAAGTATCTGAGTGTTCCTTCTCTGGCAGGTTTCTGCCGACTTTCACAGGTTTTACTATTGTTTTTTTCCTACAATAATTGAGACCAGTCTACGAACGCTTCTGTAACTTACTTTTTCTTGTAAATTGGTATCGCAGGCATCAAAGAGTTCTCTGTATCTTTAAATATTCTTCAAAAACATGATTAATGCTTTATTATATTCACCCATATGAACTAAAACTTTTCAATTTTCCCATTCTTGTAAACCACATTATGATTAAAAAGTCTTGAATATACGTATCTTTATCTGTATTTGTTTTCTTGGGATAAACACCCAGAAAGGAAATTGATCAAAAAGTATGTCCACTGATACATACAAGGGGGTTTCAAAAAGTTTGTGGAAATTTTCCAGTATTTTTCAGTTCCTTTTTTCCACAAACTTTCTGAAGCCCCTTCTTATTCAAAAATTGTCCTCTATAAACGTTTATCAATTTATAGTTAAGCAGAGCAGTTTACCACCATTCGTCTGTCAGTTTGTTGTACTGTGGTGGCTTGTGAGTTGCTGTGATTCTGAAAGCTATGCCACTGGTATTTTAAGTATAGCAGGTTCACCCACGGTGGACAGGTTTCAGATGAGCTTCCAGATGAAGACAGACTAGGAAGGAGTGACAAACTACTTCCTAATATTTAGTCACTGAAAACCTTATGGACAGCAGACAAACAGTTAGATACAGTGCCAGAAACAGAAACAGCTAAAATCTTATATTGACAGAGAACTTCCAGAGGTTCAAGCCGGATTCAGAAAAGGCCGTGGAATGAGGGATATCATTGTTGATGTCTGATGGATCTTGGCTGAAAGCAGAGAATATCAGAAAGATGTTTACCTGTGCTTTACTGACTACACAAAGGCTTTCAATTGTGTGGATCATGACAAGTTATGGAAACCACTGCAAAGTATGAGTATTCTGGAACACTTAATTGTGCTCATGAGGAATCTGTACCTGGACCAAGAGGCAGTTATTCAAACAGAACATGGGAACCCTGAATGGTTTAAAATTAATAAAGGTGTGAGACAAGGTTGTATTCTTTCACCATACTTATTCAACCTGTATGCTGAGCAAATCATCCGAGAAGCTGGGTTCTATGAAGAAAAACATGGCATCAGAATTGGAGCAAGATTCACTAACAACCTGTGATATGCAGATGATACAACCTTGCTTGCTGAAAGTGAAGAGGACTTAAAATACTTATTGATGAAGATCAAAGATCACAGCCTTTGGTATGGGTTGCACCTCAATGTAAAAACAAAAATCCTCACAACTGGGCCAAAAACCAGCATTCTTATCAATGGAGAGAAAACTGAAGTTGTCAAAGGACTTCATTCTTCTTGGATCAACTATCAACACTCATGGAAGCAGCAGTCAAGAAATCAAATAGAATTAGGTAAATCTGCTGCACAAGACCTTTTTGGGGTGTTGAAGAGCAAAGATGTCAGCTTGAGGACTAAGGTGCGCCTGGCCCAAGCCATGGTATTTTCAATAACCTCATATGCATGTAAAAGCTGGACAGTGAATAAGGAAGACCGTAGAAGAATTGATGCTCTTGGGTTATG